AAAATCAGTCATTCAGGCAGTGTGCCTGAGGACTCAGGCAGTTAGTATTAAAGCCCGGTTTTAGGCCTAAAGGGAGGGCTTTGGGTATGTAAGAAAAGTCAGAAAATTTCAACAGCCTCAGACCAATACTTTTTGAGTTATGTAAAAAAAACTACAGGGGGGGGTCAAATTGACCCCCCCCCAGCGGGAATAGGGTTAATAACGAATACATCGAAAGAATTCATCAAATGTCGTATTCTTCACTTTCTGATAATGGAATGTTGCAGATATTTAGTTTTTTAATTAAATGATTATATGGAGCTCTTTAACACTGTTCCCGCATATTCATGGCTATTTATTTATTTTCGCAAATACTGAAATTTACATAAAATAGTATAAAACTCATTGAAAAATTGTCAAGACAACATTTGATAAATTCTTCCGATGTATTCGTTATTAAGGGTTTTACTGTAGACTCTAAAAATTACTCCTTTGCTTGAAAAACTAACTTTTTAACTTTATAAATTTATCACTTAACTCCATCACAGCTAACAGCATCATTAAAAATTATATTTTCACTAGAAAACGAAATTTCTTCTGAAATTTTAAGATAGAATTTACTCAATCTACATATTCACCAAATCTTTAAAGCTACAAATTTTCTGGGATTTGCTTGCACAAACATTTCAATGATTTTTTCAGTAGAGAGCTCAGACAGCCTTATAGGGTGTAAAGCTATAATGCAAGATCGTTAAGTCTGCTCTCCGTCATAGTACGTCTTGTGTAATGAAGTATTCTCTTTATAAGGCTAAATCTTTTCTCTCCTTGTATTAACAGTGAATTTAGACAAATCCTTAGTCTTTGTCATTGTCAGGTGTTACTTTTTAAACGTATAGTTTCCTTTTAATTTTGTATTTTCCAGGGGGGCAGGACCCCGCCTGGAACTTTCAGGGGGGGGCAAGAGGACTACTACCCCCCCTAGGTACGCCACTGTGTCTGGCCTAAGGAAGGGAAATGCAAGCATCGATGTAATATTAAAATAGCCTCTCCTTCTTAATCTCTCAGGGGGGCACGCGTAGAGGGGGGCGGGGGGGGCGCCCCCCCTCGTACGCCCCTGAACAAGTTGTTAACAAATATTAATCACAATTGTTTTGCATAGGGCTGCATTATTTATATATAAAATAATTTGTAAATAACGGAAGAATGAAATGACACATATTTCGTGTTTTTTAATCTAAAGTAATTTACAGTAATCAGGCGCGTACACAGGATTTTAGCCAGGGGGGGCAAGATTTTTTTTTGCCCCCCCTGGCTGTTTTTTGCCCCCCCCCTGGAATTGTTTTGTTCAAAAAGTCAATTAACACCATAAAAATACACCAAAAAGACTACATTTTTGAGTGTTACTAACCTTATAAAGTCTAAAATTTATACTAAAATTTATTCCTTTGCTCGAAAAAAAACTTTAACTTTTTAACTTTATAAATTTATAAATTTATCACTTAACTCCATCACAGCTAACTAAATCAATAATCACAGCATCATTAAAAATTATATTTTTACGAATAAACGAAATTTCTTCTGAAATTTTTAGATAGAATTTACTCAATCTACATTTTAACCAAATCTTTTAAGCTACAATTTTCTGGGATTTGCTTGCACAAACATTTCAATGATTTTTT